CTACATCCTCAACAGCATTTGGAATTATTTTAACTACGTAGTGATACGTCATTGTGTTTTGATATGCATTTCCCTCATGACTAATGACACTGAGCACCATTTCTTGTGGTAATTCAATTATGTCGATGTTCAAAAATTAGTTTGTCTTTTTTATCGAGTTGTAGTTTTTCGTATAGTCTGTATATAGTCATTTATCAGATATGTTTTGCAAATATTTTCTCCTAGTCTGCTGCTTCATTTTCTTAACTATCGTCCAAAGAACAGTTTTTATAAATTAAAATTTTTTTTTCTTTTATGGATTGTGCTTTAGATGTTGTAGCTAAGAAATTTTTTTGCCTAACCAGAGATGACAAAAATTTTCCAAGTTTTCTTCTAAAAATTTTATAATTTTACATTTAAATTTATAATCTATTTTGAGTTATTTTGCATATGGTGCACGGTATGGGTTAACAGGCTGAAGTTCTTTTTTTTTCTTGCAGAATGATGTTCAATATTCCAGCACATGTCATCTGCAAACAGTGACAGCTTTACTTCTTCTTTTCCAATTTGGATTCCTTTTATTTCTTTTTCTTCTCTGATTGCTGTGGCTAAAACTTCCAAAGCTATGTTGAATAATAGTGGTGAGAGTGGACAACCTTGTCTTAGTAAATAGTTTCTTTTTTTTTTTTGCGCTACACGGGCCCCTCACCGTTGTGGCCTCTTCCGTTGCGGAGCACAGGCTCCTGATGCATAGGCTCAGCGGCCATGGCTCACGGGCACAGCCGCTCCGCGGCACGTGGGATCCTCCCGGACCGGGGCACGAACCCGCGTCGCCGGCATCGGCAGGCGGACTCTCAACCACTGCGCCACCAGGGAAACCCTTCACTATCTTTTGATAAGGTTCTGTTTAGCAGAGAATCTATGTAGAATCTACAAAAAGAAAGGTAAACCTCTTGCTTTGGTGTGAAAATCCTATGGCTGGAGATGGGAGGGCAGTTCCCAATTTCTGTGGCGAGAAATGGCTAAGCAGTATACTTTCCACTCCATATACATGTGTGGTATAAGACAGTCCAGAAAGAATTATCAATGCTCTCTAGCCAAACACCAGGAACACACCAGTGGCTGCACAAGCTAAGCTTACTACTCACTGCAGCAAGGGAGAACACACACTATGGGGAACCATGAGGCATCTCAATATGAGGGTGTTAGGGCTTACATTAAGATTTGGGTTTGTTGGGTGATTTGCTCTAAATCGGATGCTGTCAGGAAGCAAGGGTAATTCTATAACTGGGTACCTTAATAAATCTTTTTTTTAGAGGTTTTTTTTTTTTGTTTTTGGCTGCATTGGGTCTTCGTTGCAGCACACGGGCTGTCTCTGGTTGTGGCAAGCAGGGCTACTCTTCGTTGCGGTGTGCGGTCTTCTCATTGCAGTGGCTTCCTTGTTGTGAAGCACGGGCTCTAGGCACGCAGGCTTCAGTAGTTGTGGCTTCTGGGCTCTAGAGTGCAGGCTCAGTAGTTATGGTGCATGGGCTTAGCTGCGCCACAGCATGTGGGATCTGCCCAGACCAGGGCTCGAACCCGTGTCCCCTGCATTGGCAGGCGGATTCTTAACCCCTACGCCACCAAGGACGTCCACTTTAATAAATATATCGAAAAAGGGAAGACTAGAATGAGGATAAAGCTGTAATTAGTAAAGAAGTAACAGCCCCTCATATAGTCTGATATTTTCAGTCTGTGTATTTCATTTGGTGGCTTAGATAAGGTTCATGTTTTTGTCTGTGTTCAGATATGATTATGGAGTAGTCTTATTTTTGTCCTGATCCATCACAATCATGAAATGGCCTTTTCTGATGCTGATGTTCTCTGAAACAGTTTATATTCAACAGAAGACACCAAAGGCTAGCTGTGCCAGGCCAGCTCCTAGCAACAGAAAGACCTAGCTGATAGCACCAGTCCAGCTACTCGATGTCAGGGACTGCTTTTCTCTTTCTCAGAATATAGTGGTTAAGGCCCCAGTCAGAAAAAATTGTTTGATTCCAGGGTCTGCCTTCCACTAGCTGTGGGCCCTTGAGTAAATTATCTAACTTCTCTATGCCTCAGTTTCCTTATATGAATATGGGGATAATAATAGTACTTGCCTCACTGGATTGTTGGAGTACATGTTAGAAACTTAATGTTAAATAAGTCTTAGTTATCATTATTATATCACAGAAAAGATTAAGAAGGATTGGGGCAGAAAAAGGAAAACCAAAAATAGTCCAAGTAATGGTGCCAGTAAAGTCTGCCTAGCATTCATGCTGGAAAGGTCACATATTAAGTGGTTTCTGTGATAACAAGAAAATAGAGTTGCTTTGTACCTCTTCACATGCTGGGTAAACACGACAAACCACAGATCCTGCTAACCATCCAAATCATAAAGTAACAAGATTATTTCATTTCTCCTTTAAGGTCTGGAAAACTGAAATATCTTGACAGTCTCAGAACAATGGTCTAAGCGGATTTAAGCCACTGCTTTGAGAAACCGGTCATTAGGCTGAAACCACAGACTATATTTGGTCCACTCTATTTAAGATCTGGCTTAAAGGCAGCTTCTTCCAGGATGCTTTCCTTGGTTAACATCTCCTTTTCTGGGTCTTGTCAATACATATCCTTCAGTTGCCCCTCCCTGATTATTTTGCATTCGAAGAAAATGAGGGTATGTTTTGTCTTGTTAACCGAATTGTGAAAAAGATCTCACACCTTCACAGGAATTGTTTACAGACCCCTTTCACACCCACCAACTCCTTTGATTCTCTCAAAAAACCTATGATGGACTTTCTGTCATCTTCGTTTTATAGGTGTGCAAAGAGAGGCAGAGAAAAGTTAACAGATGCCTCACCTCACAAGGGGTTTAGGTCCAGACACTATCCTCTTACCGCTACACTCTTCTCAACACCTTCCAGAACGGCGAGCAGAGCCTCGGCCTAGGCGGGGAGACCTCAAGAGGCGCCGCGCCAGGCGGCAGATGGCGAGGGAGGCGCGCGAAGCCAGGTTTTCTAATTTCCAACTCACTTCTCTTTTCACTATAAACACCCACTCTCTTCAGCAAACTGCTAGCGCCTGGCGAACCCTCGGCACTGCGGTAAGCGGTGGGTGACGACGACGAACCGGAGTTCTTACTCTCAAGAAGCTCAATTCTAGGGCAGAGGAGACTTCAAATAATAATAATGGTAACAACAACAATAATAAATGAGTAGTGTCTCTCAACAACAGCAATAATAAGTGAGCACTGTCTCTCTTGTCATCCCTGTCACCTGGACAGTATACAGAGGCTCGTAGAGAGCCCCAAAGAGAAGGGCGGAGAGCAGGCCTAGCTCGTCACTCCCCTGAGGGGAAGCAGGTAGGGGAATGTCGAGGCCCCGGACGAAGAGTCGGAGAAACTGGCGACCGTCTCATCTTCCCTAGGGCGAAGGTTCGGAATTCGGAGCGACTGTTACTCGCGGCGTAACGGGGACTTCTGGAAGCCGCAGTCGTCACTACTCGGTCCGCAGGGCCGCCGCCTACGGGTTCTCGAGGCCCTGTGCCCTTCGCCCGATCTGATTGGACGGCGGGGAAAAGGGGCGGGAGGCCCAGCAGGAGGTGCGCACAGGCCAGCCCTGGGTTCTCGCGGTGTCAACAGGCAGGCGAAGGGGCGGGAGTTGGCCGGCGGGGCGGGAGGGAGCCTGGCGCGTGCGCACGTCGGGAGGCGACAGGCTTTGGGTGGCTAGGAGGGCTGGGCAGTTCGAGAAACGGGTGGGCGTGTGCCGGATAGGAGCGGGAGGGGCTCGGGGTGCGCGTGCGCGTCGGAGCGCGAGTCGCGGGAGGAGGCGGTGGAGGGGGCGGGTCGCGTCCGGCGCCACGTCCGCAGCCAGAAGGCACCGTCGCCAACCTTGTCTTCTGGCTCCAGAGCCAGAGGAGGCGTCTCCGGAGCCCGCAGCTACCCCGGGCTGTGCCTGCCGCTCAGGCCGCCTCAGCCCTCCTAGGTGCTGCCCGCTTCTCCGCCCGGCCCCGGCGCCGGCCCCCGACCCGGCGGTGAGTAAGTCGGGCCGGGAGGGTAGGGGGCGCCGTCCCGGCTTCTTCCTGCCCTCCTCTCTGTTGCCTTTTTCCGTTAGCTCTGTTAGAAGGGGGAGGGGCGGGACGATGTTGGGGGGTGGAGGTTCGCTGGCCGGGTTACCCCCTTTTACGTGTCTCTGACTTCCCCGCCGTGGTTTGAGACTGGGGACTCTCCTTGGACGCTTCCGCCTGACTTAGTTCCTGGGGTATCAGACCGGGGAAATGGGGGTGGGAGGGCGCCAGCAGCCTGCGAGAGGAGAGGGATGCGGCAGAGGGGCTGCGTGCTGGGCTTCCCCGCCCCGCTAACTTCTAACTTGTTGATAAACCACTCTCTTGGGTTCAAGTACACGATCCTTCAACAGTGGACAGTCTCAGTGTTCTTTCCAGGTAGCCCTACCCCCACACCTAACCTGAACTTGGAAGTGTAGCCGTGGAGAGAGGCGCTTACTGCTGGAGCACCCACCAGTGCCATCACTGCCTCCCGAGTCTAAATAAAGACCGTGCCTGCTATGCACACGCAGCCTCAAGACTGGTCCCCAGGCTCCCATTTAGGATCAGGTCCCCTCTCCTAAACAGATCGCCTCTTGTACGTTAGAAGACATAGGAATTCTGGAACCCTGTGGGAGTGGGGTTTGCTGGGTGTACAACGTGGAGCGGAGGGAGGAGGTGCTGAGCTCAGCCCTAGCCAGGGCTCCTACAGGGTCATTTTCTGCCTCTCCTGCCACGTCACTCCCTCTGCTTAAAAAAAAAAAAAGGGAAACTTGCTAGTGCCCAAAGGGATCAGTGGGGGGCAGGGGGGGCTCCGGAAGGGGCCACCGGCAAAGGTTTAGAAACACCTAGAGAAGGAGGAGAGTTTATGTGATTTATTCTGCCCTCGTGAACTAATTCCAAATGAAAACACTTTATTTACTATCTGTGATTATTTGTTCTATACTGTTGTCTAACCTTTAAAACTTCCACTGGTGTGGGTGCTCTAAAGGGCTCCCCAGGAATATTGATATCACATCAACAGGTATATGTCTGCGTGTTATGTGTCCATGTCTGTTTTTTTAAAGAAAGAAGGAAGTAACTTTTAATAAACTCATGCATCCTATTTTGATTTTTTTCACTTTCATTCTTTAGTCTTTGTTATATGTACTAGGAAGCAAGCTCAGTAAAAATATGCCTTTATTTAGAGAACATCGTTAGAAAAGTATAAGTAGTTCTTGTGTGTGGTTCGCTTTTGTTTTTCTTTTAAATTCCAGGAAAATCTTTACCTTTCTTTGTTTTAGTCATTGAGTAGTTGTTGTTTTGCTACTTCCTGAAGGTATCTTACTGGTTTATATATAAACACCCTTAGAGTAGGGCCTTGACATTCTCGTTCAGGCTGAAACTTCAGTGTCTAACACAGTGTCTGAGACATAGTAGGGACACAAATATCTGTTGGACTAATGAGGTGTAATGTAGTGAAAATGACTGGTGTACTGGTTATTTGGTTTGATAGGTTATTGTAATTCTCCTTAATGTTTCATTTAAGGGCAACACTTAAAAATTGCCATTTTGATACTGTCTGTTGTTACTTGTCACTAGGTGTAAGTTTTACTGACAGATTACTTTTTCTTTCCTGCCACATTCAGTGCATTGCTTGTAGTTCACTTGCTGTTGATTTAATGGGCAGGGGCCATTTTTAAAAGCAGCCTGTTGAGGATAGCTGGTTAACTAGAGAAGCCTAAAAACAGTAAGCTGGTGTTTTAATATGCGCAGTTTGTTGGTGTGTGTGAGTTAAAGCTCTGTATAAATGTATTTTTTGAAGCTCTTTATAGTTATTTGGCAAAGAAGCTAAAGCATAGGAGTGAGGATGTGGCAAAGTTCCTATATATAAAATATGTAGAAAAATTTAGCTAATTCATTTATAGTCTTTTTCTTATAGGGAAATTGGCAGTTACTGTTTAATAAGAAATTTTCAAAGTGGCTTTGAAGGTAAACTGTTGTGCATTGTATTTTGTAGTTAGGCTTCATGTACAATGTATTAGTGCTTCTTAACTTCCCTTGGTACACAGAGGGGTGTTGCCATAGGCACACTTGAGTACTGTTTTCAGATTTTGTTTTTATTAATGAAAACTTTATATATAAAATGTTACAGATATCCACAAACAACATTGATTCACCTGGTTTCCTTTAAAAAAAGGGGGCGTCCATTGTTTACTTATTTCTATTATTAGAAGAAATTACCCTCTAGGGAATAGTGTTGTTATAAATCCTTGCTCAATATATTTACCAGCTGCCTATATCTATGATACTGTTGTACTGGACAAGAATTATTTCTCCCTGGCCTAAAATGCTTAAAGGAACTGCTGATGAATTGCAGTCTATAGCAAAGAACTCTTTCACATTTCATAATTTCTTTAAAAAAAAAACATGACCAGTTTTCGTTGGTACTGTAATGGTTTGTTCACATGTCAGGACCAAATGGTAAAACTGATTTATGTCCATAGAGTAAGTTAAATTATTTGTCCTGATCTCAAGGCTGTTTTCTGTCTTTATTGCCTTCCTTAAGAAACTATGTTTTTTAATAGAAATTTCTGTGCATTATGAGTTCCTCCTATAGAGTAGACATTTTTTTGTTTTTGAATGCAACTAAATTGATAAACGCTGGTAAAGTATATAACCACTGGATTGTAAACTCTGGCTTAGTGTAGTCCTCTGTGTGTTTAATCACACTGAAACCTTTAGTGCCTATCAGGGTGCCTGGCACATAGCAGGGACCCAAGTATATGTTGAGTTTAGGGCAGATGGTTTGCATAGAATTTAATAATGTTGTTTAAGGGTAACATTTTTAAATGGTCTTTTTGATACTTTTACTGTCAGTTGTTATTTGTATTTACGTGTGTGCTTTAAAATTTTACTAAGCAGATTATTTACCTCTTCCAGTTTTAGGAGATTAGGGCCATATTTGTCTTCACAATTCCTAATTTAAGAGAAAAAAAATGTAATGATGATAATGAACAGCATGGTAATATAAAAAGCATTTCTCCTAGTGATAAAGTGATAATATCCTAAAGAGGTAATATCACTAAAAATTTGGCACATATATGTATGTAGAGGTTGGGAAAGGTTTATGTGAGTAAAAAGTATAGATGGCATTACAGATAGTTAAGGATTTTAGCAAAAATACCTTTATAAGGTAACTTGGTGTCATGATCAAATTAGGGATTCAGAAAAATATATTCCATATACTTAGAGCTTTTGCATAATTTTTATTACCCTAAGAGTTCTGTAGGAATTTGAATACTACATATTTGCTGTTAATATGAGTGATATACAAGAAACTTAAACATTAAAATATATGTATACAAAACAAAAATCAATCTCTGTGGCCTCTTAGGGCTTTCAAAGCCAATTTCTTCTAGTCTAGGTAGCCAGGCTTCTGGCCTACACAACTCCAGATTTTCTACTTTATTGATAATCCTGTTTGCAACTCTTGGTAACACTAGTAAACATAACTGTGAATGTAATTTAAGAGCGGCATAAACTCAGGGGAGATAGGAGCGTGGTTGGGCAGGGAAGAGAGAGCTGGTGAATCTGAGAGTATACCCTAAAGAGGCTCCAGGCAAGAACGAAATTTCTTGAAAGTCTAGTTGTCTTAAAAAATTCCCAAGCACTTTTCATTTAACTTTTTAATTAGTGTGTATTTAAAAGCAAAACTATTTTAAATTACTGTATAGTAAAATTCATGTCTCTCCTGTGGTTCTTGAAGCCCCTGGAATAGCACTGCCTGTTCTTAAAGAAGTACATTTGAAGAGCATGAATCTAGCTTGAAGTTATCTTTTTTTTTTTAAACCAAAAATTTGGACCACATATTGGTATGCATCTTTTCTTATGATGCTTCAAGTTAATGTGGATACAGATGATATTTTTATCCCATTTATTACACAAATACTATGTGTCAGCTTACAACCAAAACGTGTACTTTAAAAAAAAATGGTAAGAGTATAAATAAGATTTTCAAACTGTAAATCAGGGAAAAGAGCTGTAAGAGTGGAGGTCTTTGTGTGCTGTCAGGACCGGGCTGGGGGAGGGTGGGGGAACATAACCGTGAATAAAACTGGGTGATCTTTTCTTCAAGTCAACATTTTGTGATTCAGGAACATTGTTTTTTAGGTGATCAGCTTGATTTGAGGATAACAATAACTACCTACAGTAACTAGGTAGATGAACTGTATCATCTTTAAAAATATCCTTTATGAGTATCACTGATTTCTAAGACTTAAAAATATGTATTGTTCTTTAATTACAAGATCAATACATGTTTATGGTAGAATATTAAAATGTAGATGTTAAGTATATATATTTCTCTCTATGTAGAAATACTATATATCTATTCCCCCCATATGTATAATTTCTACCCCCTAGTGGCAATCTTTGTTAACACTTCGGTATATTTATTTTCAGTCTTTTTATGCGCACTTAAAAAAAATAGTATCATATGATACATGCCTTTTATATCCTCTAAATACGACATTAACATTTATCCATAGTATTTGATCTTCATAAATTATTTTAATGTTTGCATTGTATGTATCTTTAGGAAGCTTATAAATTCATCTCTTGCCTTCCATGAGGCTGTCTCATTTGACTATTTATCTTCAGGTGTATTATGTTTGTTTTTGCTGGCTTCTCTTTTGCTCACCTCTTAAACATGAACAGTCCATATAAGCTTATCGGTCTGCTCTCTTACTACTCTTTTCCTTGATCATATCACTCACCCCCTGCAGCTTCAGGTATCACTTCAGACCATTCTCAGGACCTCACCTCTTACTCTGACTTCATGCTGACTTTCAGGCCCTTTTAAATACAATTGCCTGCTAAAAGTCTCCTGTAGATGGCCTGAAGGCATCTCAAATAGCTGTTCAAGAACAAGTCTTTTCACTGAACCGATAGTCACCAATACTGTGTACACTTATTTGTTAAGTGTTCTTGCCGCAATAAACATTTTAAAAAATGTCCATCTTCTCCTCTCCAGTCCTGTCTTCATCATCATTTCTATTTAGTTTCTCATGCTAGAAATTTTACACCCTATATTCTCCTTTTATCTCACATTAATACCCAAGTTATGTTCTACTTCATACAAAAAAGTCAAGTATTTGAGTATCCGCCACACATCAGGCATTATTAATTAAGGCTCTGGGAATGGAGCAGTGACAAAACCAAGCTTTGTTCCAATAGAGCTTACATTCTAATTGTGAGTGACACAAAGTAAACATATATATCAAGTGACAATAAAAGCAATGAAGAAAATAGAGCAGTGTGTTAGGTGAAAATGATAGGGAAAGGAAGGTGCTAATCTATTATAAGGTGGTCAGGGAAGACCTCTGAGAAGGGGACATTTGCACAAAGACCTGAAGGAAGTAAGGAATCAAGTCAGGTACATACACTGGGGAAGAGCCTTTCAGGAAAAGATGAGCAAGGAAGCCTATGTTGTCAAGCTGGATTGAGCAAGAGGCAGAGTGGTAGGAGATGCTATCGGGGTATTAGATGTTGGGCCCTCAAAGGCAAAGGGAAGGACTCTGGATTTTATTCTGGGCAAAATAGGAAGCAGTTGGAGGGTTTTAAGCAGAGTATGACATGGATAGACTGAAGGAAGAGCACAGGCGGAAGCTTGGAGGCCAGTTAAGAGATTTTGTAGTTGTCCGCAGCTCTACTCTTTTAAAATGATGGTCTTTTTCTTTTTTAAATTACAAGATAGATATATGTGGGAAAATTATTTTTTTAAAATAAGGGATTCTGTATTAGGAGGAAAAGGTTAAGACTTTTGGTAGAGATTTGTGGGATATATACAGAAAAGCAATTTTAAAATGTATGCAGTTACTAGCACACCTGTTTTAAAACTCCAGCTAAAATATGTAAGATGTATGTGTGTATATAGTATCCCCATATTTCTGTACAGAATACTGTGACATCTGTTGATTAGTTGATCAGCCAGATGATCTCTTGGTATACAGATACTGGAATCACAGTGCTGAGTGAGGTAGACAAAGTGTCTCTCCTTTTGGAATTAACAGTCCAATGGGGAAGAAAGTGACTCCAAAATAGTTATTCTTCAGGAAGGGGGACACACACTTCTGGCCATTCTGCCAGGAGTTTCTGCATGTTTTGTTTTGAATTGTTAAATAGTATTCTCATCTTAGAGTTAGGGCTAGAATATCTTTAATTTCTATTTCTTGAACAGCAAGGATCTGATGAAGTTATTTGTCCTCAGCCATATAGTTTATAGTCAAGTTGGGATTCAGCTGCAGGCTCTCTGATTCCAGAACTTTAAACACTACGCTGTATAATTTCTCATGATCTTACCATGATGATAAATTAAAGAAATATAAATATGAATGGAAATAAATTTAATTAATTAATTTAATTTCTGGCTTAAGGGAGTTTTAAAATTAAGGCAAATCAATCAGGAACTCCTTCTCCCAGTAATGCATCAGCTGATACTCTCAGGTTTTGTTTTGTTTTTTGTCAGAGATTACATATCTTTACTGTTACTCTTAAAATCTTAACTGTATATGGGATGATAATGCTAAATTGACAAACCGGACCAGCGTAAGATTAGGTGCTCTTGATCAGTGGTCTGAGTCAGGGTTTTCACTAGAACAACTAAAAGACATTTATTTAAGCACAGGGACGTATGCTGCTGGATGCTGTGGGGTGCAGTGAAGTCCCATGTTACACAGGGTTTAGGTTTTAAAGATGTTTCAAGTTGAATTACATGAAGTTAAATTACCTTTGAAAAATCCCACTTCTCACACTGCTACCTCTGCCACCCTCATTTGCCACCAGTGTTTTTTGCCTGAGTTATTGAAATATAGAAGGAAATATGAATGACTTTTTATCTGATCATCTGGTGCTGAAAGCAGTAGGAGTCATAAAGGAAAGGGGAACTTCCCTGACCCTTCTTTGACCACTTAAAATTAGTTCTGATAAACATTGTAAAACGTGTGAGCCTTGAAAACATTAAGTCTCCCAATTGGTCTTTCTGTCTCTGTTCTTGCTTTCTGATTGCTTGTTCTCCCCACACAGCCAGAATGATCTTTAAAAAGTGTAAATCAGAACACATTACCCCTCTGGTCAGTGCCTTTCACTGGCTCGCCATCTTAGAGTTAAAAAGCTAATTGCCACGATGGCCTATATGGGCCTATGTCGTCCAGACCTCACTCTTTGACCTCTTCTTCTACTGCCTTTTGCTGCAGCCCCTGCCACATTTTTCTGGCTGTTCCTTCTTGTCTATAGTAAGCTCTTACCTCAGGACCTTCGCATTTACTGTTTTTTCTGTCTTGAGGGCTCTTGACCCAAGAGCCCTCAAGGCAGAAAGGGTATCTTGTATCCTTAACCTCCTTTGGGATGTCACCACAATGAGGCCTTCACAGACTCTCCCATTTAAAATATCGCATCCTCTT